TATATATACATACATATACATATACAATATACATTTATACAGGATGGATACGGGAAAACCCGAGCAAGAACAAGTAGGATAATTCCAATATTTTTTCATGGGGAGCATGGTCAGCCTGACGAAAGGGGAGGGGGAGGCTTAAGCACCCATAGCATCCTAGACATTTATGGATAATCATTGCTTTTGAGGATGAATGGGTTTATGCAGGATTTTCTTGGATAGTTTGCCTAGTGAAAGTAGAAAAATAAAGAATATGTAAATGAAGATGAAAATAGAAAGACGAGAAACATATTTTTAGAAGGATTTCGTTGACCTGGTGACCTAAAGACCTCCACACACGCACCAGTTTAGCCAACTGAGCTAGCTGCTTTCTCTTTCTATTTGGCCTAATGAGGCCAAAATAAGTAATCTTTTTTTCCATGTGACAAAAATCAAATCCTGGTACTTCAAAGAATTTGATATTGAAAGAGTTTCTACAGTTCTACTTGTAATGGCAGCTAATACACAATAGAGGTCAACTTTAATAATGCTGACTGTATAAATACAGTTTACACAGTAGTAAAACGCCCTAAACAATGCTAATTCTGTTTAAAGAACATCTGCCACACAAGTATTTCCGCTCGTTTTTTAGACAATAAACATAAAGCCTGCTGAGTTTTTGAAAACAATTTTTAGATATGAATGCCTAATAAAAAGAAAATTCCAAAGGTAGATGTGTAACTACAAGGGTGAAGAATAGGACATGTGCTGGGGAGGTTAAAATGAGCTTCCAAAAATCCAAAAAAAGATATTGATAAATTGTTTTTCTACAAGTCTACAATAGCTTGATGCCTATCAAATAGCCTAAATGTTTGCTTTGCTCACATAGCCTCCTGTAAGGGCCTTCATACCCTCCGTCGGGCAGGTCTTGGCACTGTTTCTATACGAAAATCGACTTAACAGTAAAACAATAAGTAATTTGTTTGAATTCAAGAAGTATAATTATAATTTTGTAATTTTGTAATTCTATTTCACTCGAAAATTGAATGTAGAGTCTGGTAGGCATGAAGGGATTGTGTCCCTGTACAAGATTCCCATGAAGAAATACACTTATACAGATGTTAAGTGTATTTTACAGTGGCGTATCTAGGGGCCCCAAAAATTACTTGTGCCCCCTCCCCCCCACCCCCCCCTTGCTCCCCCAAAAATCATGGTCAGGTAGTTAATAATCACCAAAAATCACCTTATTTTGTAGTTATCACCCCTCAACTGATCATTGAGCTCCCCCTCCCCCACTTCACTTCTAGATACGCCACTGGTATTTTACGGTCATGTTGAGTATGAACTCTACAAGCTCAAAGAACCTTCAACCTGGAAAAGGGCATCATTCATTTTTCTCCACATGCCAAAAACCCTAGTTACACCACAGCCCAAAGGCGAGGATAGAGTAACACACGTCTGCTGTAAACTGTCACTGTCAGAATACGACAATTAATATTATTATTAATAATATATATAGCGTTATGTTTACATTAGCTTACAGTTTCTTTAATAAAGGTTGTTTGGAGAAATTTCATTTTACAATAAAATGATTTTGAAATTGGTTGATTTCTAATATGTATGGAGACTACTGAATCTGTAATTAGCTTCGATCGACACCATCATCAGCATCAGCATCTTCAGCATCATCATTATCAATCACAGTAATATCTATCACACACAATCTAACCATTAATATTGATTATAGACATAAATAATTCAATTAATGAACAATTATCAAATTTATTTGAAAGATTTCTGCATATTTGTATATTAATGTACATATAAGTAATATTAAAGAATGATCATTTCTATACACTGTACACTTCTAAGAAGTAACATATCACACCAGTATAAGGTTAGAGAATTTTTACTACAAAAAAAACATCCCCAAACTGATTACCCGCCATTTTAAGAATCATGAAATAAATATAGTAATGAATGTGTCTGTTATCGGTAAAAAAAAAAAATAATTTACCATTGTATGGTGATTTTTATTTGAAAGTAAGCATTATTTTTGTTAGTTTTTTTCAGCCTTAACAAAAATATTGTACCTTAAAATCTATTAATGATTATCAATAACAAATATGGTATATAAAAACCATAAAATTATTCAAAACATAAAATGTCTGCACTCAAGTTTTGAGAAAATGCCTATATATGGATGTGACATGACATCATTATGCCCTTATATGGGTGCAAAAAGGTATTAAATACTCCTTGATAAGTATCAAAATAAATATATAAAACAAAAAAAATTGAATGTCTGCACTTAAGTTTTATGAGAAATGCCCATATATGGGTGTGATATGACAACATCATGCCCATATAATATTTGTGCAAGGAGGTATTAAATACTCCTTGATAAGTATCATTAAAATAAATATATAAAACATAAAAAAATAGAATGTCTGCTCTAAAGTTTTAGAGGAATTGTGACCGTATGTGACCCGAGATCATAAAAGGGCTGTAAACTTGCCAAAATGAGTTGTTGTTATGATGACAGAGAACATATCATTTACTTTAAAATGAAATTTTTAACTGTCCATTTAAAAATGGACTCAATTGGGTGTCAGAAAGCAAAGTTATAACTGTTTTGAATAATTATCATCTTACCAACTTTTTTAAATCAAGTTTTGAGGGGGGAAAAACCCTTTTCAGCCGATGTCTATTCATTTTTCACTAACTCCCATCTGACAATAGCTAAACTTTGCCTTTTAAAGTTGGAATTTTAAACTCAAACTTCAGGAATAGTAAGATTATAGTTATACTCTATTTATTAAACAAAAACCCAATTCAGGTTCTACGGTCTACTATATTCTGGCTACTGAGGCTTGTTTCTCAATACAGTGCGAGATTACATCCCTTTTATAATCAAATATATGGATGCAAGGAGGTATTAAATACTCTTTGATGAATATATGAAACATATAAACAAATAGAATATCTACACTCAAGTTTTACGAGAAATGCCCCTATATGGTTGTTTTATGACATCATCATACCCACGTATGGGTAAATCACAAATTTGTCACAGAAAATTTGATAACAGGATGTGGAACATGTCTGGCAGTATCACATCTTGAACTTGGTTGAAACTCACAAGATGCATCAGTTGCAACATATAAATATTCAACTGTGGTCACTGTATTATGTGTAACAGGTTTTGCAATTCCATAATAACCCAGTTGACTAAATTTCACTAGTGTGACCTTAGATTTAAAGCTATATAAGAATCACTCTACAATTACATAGGTGTCATTAATAACTCGAATAATATCACGTCTCCCAAGTTGCTCAAAATGTTGAAAAATTTGACCCAGAGTGGCATTCTGCTGCCTACTGTAGTCTCTCAGAAGTGCCATGGTTGGGTTTGGTTCATTCCTCATGATGTCCAAATATATGAATGTGTAATCAAGCAAAGCTGAAACATAGTAATGCAAAAACATAATAAAGCTGAGTTGTGCTAACATTATTATGCTGTAACTTTTCACAAAGATGAAATTTTAGGTCAATTATACAAATATCCTAGAATAAACCATGGTTGTAATCTAGAGGTTAAAAGCTAATAATTGAACATTGTTAAAAATGGATAACAAATGGTGAAGATATGATAATTTATATTTTCAGTCCAATATGTATTAATAGGCTCAATACATGGACATTTTTTGACAACAAGTGCTTAGTTTTGCCAGAGTCGGTCACATATGGATTTGAAATTTAATAATTTTTTGTACCTGCGAGTCCTTCCCAGTTGCGATGTAACGGATCATGCCCATTTAATCTGTCACAGATGATTTGAGTGACTTTTGCAGGTAAATCTTGAACAAGAGTTCTTGAACTTAGATATTTCATCATGTCATCAGGCATTTGTGGAATCTAAAAAATAAAAAGCATTTTAAAGATTTTCTAATTTTAAAACAATAGCAATATTTTTACTCAATGTTGGTAATATTCACTGTATTTAGCATTAAAACTACTAGTGTATCTATAGTACTATATAGATAACGTAAATATAGATAACATAAATAAAATATTTATCATAAAAATATATTACCGAAATTGAGCTTTTCTTCTGGACCCATGGAGAAACATGTTCATGTTTATCAATGCGTTCTTGCCCGCACATAAGAACGCTGTGTTGCGAATACAAACTGAGATCGACCACATGGGTCTTCCAGTCGATGCCACGCCTTTGTCGACACTCATCACATGACAGGGGGCATGGGGGACCAATCAGGAACTTGAGCTTTCGAGAACGCATTGCTGATTTGAACTTATTGAAAATCTTCGTCAGGAAGCTTAGCAGATTAAGAGGACTAAATGGGTCGTCCCACCTAAAATGGAAAAGAAAGTTACTGATAATACGTATAATGAAGAGCCAGAATAATACCTGTGCTAGGAAATGTAGAGGTACAGTAGTGCCCCAAGTCAGAGGGAGGGTGCAAAATAAGGTGACATACTGTAAGTTGATTTTTAATTACTCTAGCTTATTTTTTTGCTTTGAACCTAGCCAGTGGGAGGAGAAACTGGGAGATGTGCAAGTCTTTTTCCCCTTTTTGTGGGGGGGGGGGTGGGGATACACAATGTGAAATATTTTCCAATACTACATTAAGTAGCACCATATTCAAGCGTGGTAAAGTATAGAGTAGTAAATTCTTCGAACATATTAAACTTGTTACTAAAATTGATGGGTTCTCAGAATGTTGTGAAACATGTTCGGATTAATACTGCATGCATAATGTACTAAATAAACCAATTAATATTTCATGAGACAGATATAGAGCTACTGATGAATGGAGCTGTAGGCAGTTTACTTAATGTGGGTTGAACACTTTAAATATGCAAAATGAGTGTCAAAAGCACAATATTGGACGTCATTGATTTTTTTGTCACTCTCTTTTTGTTCTTGTTGTTAAAAGACCAAATAAATAATGAATAAATGAATGATACAGCTTGCATAATTACAGTAGCTCTGTCAAGGAAGTTGCATTATATTCAACACCATTTGTTTGTTGAGAGGATGCAAAAAAAAAATGATCATTTAGTGGAGCGGCGATTCCATTTTGGGTGAAAGGTCAATGTTCCAGCTCATGGGAAGTAAAAAATCCTATTGTTAACACTAGTTATGGTATTGTTTTCTTTCAGTTATCACTAATTGTTTTCTAGTTCTATGAGGTTTTCTGGAAGACTACTTAATTCAGAATTTCAGGGTTACTGTTGACTAAAACATGACCAATAAGGATGTAAATGATTGATTAAGGATGTAATACATACATTGCATTCACAGTGATAATTCCTTTAAGGCCATCGCATTCCATCACAAACTCGCATTTCCCAGGTATTTGGACATGAATTGAGTTGTGATACCTAATAGTCCAACCCACTCTGCTTGGCTTTAATCCCTGAATAATAAACATAGCACTTCTCAGGAACAATCCATCAGGAATAAATCCTTCGAAATCTATACAGAGCTGTTGATGAAGCTTACGCTTAACATATGGGTCGAGGCCAGGAAAGAAATCCGGAAGGTAAACCGGCACTAAGTACATCTCCTTTTGCCCGTTATTCACGCTATCCACGCCACGATAATCACACCTTTGAAGACAGTGTATCACACTCATAACTTCCAAAAAGTCCACTTCATACTTGCCTCCCGCCAGCACAGCTAAAAACCTTTTCTCAGCACGAGCATGGGTCTTGAGGTCTCTCCAGGAGTTGTAATCCTGCGGACAGCACTTAGCTTCTGGGGGAGCATTTGAAATAGTGCAAGCAGCCTTGAGTAAATGCTGCGGATCAATCATGATCAGATAATTTGGAGTTGCACTTGTAGAAAAAGGGAACACAAGATTTCCTGCAATGACAATTATGGTGAAAATTTGAATTATCCGGCATTGAAAATACAATCAATGGAATTGAATATTGTGTACCAAATGTTTTCTCTTTGCCAAAGTTATTTTTATGGTGAATTCTGATCTCTGAGACCTTTACCTTACCATACTGAGTGCTCAATATACAATAATACAATCAATAGTTTGAGATACAATAGATTTTATTACCAAATGAATTTTACACAGCACATCCAACATTGATTAATATGATGATGTTCAAATTAAACTGCTACAGAACAGAAAATTAATATGAAGACAATCAGGAACAATGTATTGTTTCCCTTTTCAGCCCACTTCCTTTCTGACACTGCCTTCATTTTTTTGGTTTTCCACTCCCCTATTCCTTAAAAATTCCGATCTTTTTTATTTATAGAACACTACATTGAATTAATTTCATATTTTTCTTCCTTGGCCATTATAGATCAGGTCCAGTGTTACCATCAAAACAATTTGTTCTGAAAATACTAAAAGCCCAAGCCGATCCCCCCACCCACCACCCAAAAAATCCCCTTTCAGATGAGAAACAATTTTTGGCCTAATAATCAATTAAGTAAGGATCATACCTGCATTTATAATTTCACCCGAGTCATGTAAGTATGTTAATGAACGTTCCGCATCATTGCAATTTAGACTTAAGTCAATTGGAGATACACATTTTGACCTTCGAACTCTCATATGATGTACTTGCTTATGAAGTTGTAGGTACCGATAAGGATAGGAAGTTTCTATAAATTCTTGTCCAATAGCAACCTTCGAAATATGATTTACCACTTCCTGTACATTGTACAATTGAGCACAGTGCAACTGATCATTATGCTGCTTCTGGGGTTCAAATGAACTGTTCTCTGAACATGTATCACCAGAGAGTTTCAAATTCCCATGAGGGATCACTTTCTGCTGATTGTTCAAAGCTGATGTCACAACAAAACATGGCATATTTGTTCTTGCATTGTATTGCAACATTTTTCCGTATGTTGCAGAGAAACGGTCGTGCAGTACTTTTCCAATTTCACAGACATTGCACGAGAAATCACTGTCCTGTGTCCCAATGAGGTAAACTCTCACACTCGTTGAAGCATAGCAACGAATTTTACACAAATGTTTCTGAATTGTTTGTAATACAGGTGTAGGGTCAGAGATCAATTGTTCCACGCTGAACTGAATTGTGTAGATGGCATGTTTACATAATATTAACTGGTAACATGAGTCTGACACATGTCCTTCCTTCACAGATATGATATTGAGACGGACATTTTGCAGGAACTGTGAGTTTCGTCCTTGAAGAGACTTTAACGGTTCATTTAACATGTTTAATTTTTGCCTTGATCTTATCACGTCCGAGAAATAGTTCACACTATGTTCAGTATTTACCCAGTCATAATTGTTGTTGCACTGCTTCACATCAACATAGCCACAAGTTGTGACGTCACTGGTCCGTTTTAACTCAGATTCAGATGAACCACCAATGAGGGATAGCATAAGAGATGAACTAAGCTTTCCTAAAATAATCAGCTTCAAGAATGGAAGGCTACACATTTTCAAATCCAACACGTCGTTGTTAATCTTCGATCTCAAGTTTAACGGTTCATCAGATTTTGTGAAATGGACATATTCATCATCGACATGGAATGAGGGGTTCTGTTTTAATTTCGAAGTCAGTAGTTTCATTGGACTTTGCACAACAAACTTCAACCGAGAATGTGCATTTCTCACAATACTCTCAAATTCCTGAATCTATTAGAAAACAAACAAAAATGTAAACATTTTATTTGTTTTATTATTCAATATTTTAAATGATAAAACAATACAATATGACAAATATAAAATTGTAAAATACCAACAGTGATAATAAAATATAAAAATCATAAAACCAAATTTAGCCATAATAATAATAATAACAATAATGACTTTAATTAAATTGACAATTAGAACAAGAATAAATTTTCCCCAATAAACAAACTAAAAAATATAAGTTTGATCTGTGTCTCAGAAAAGTTAATAACTTATCCTGTAATGGGCGATTCTGCTGTTGGATGCAATTGATTGCAAATAAAATAAATCCTTTTAAATGACCATTTCTAATGTTTGAAGGTTGCCCACTATATCATAATTTTAACACTAATACTATTAATTAGGAGTACAATATAATGGCTTACGCATCCTACTAAGCCATGTATACAAAGATATGAGGGGAAAAAGTTTTAAAATAAACAGAAACAAAAAATTATGAAAAAATGGGAATTTGACATTTAGAAAATGTTTCACTTTTAGATACAAACCAATGGTGTCTGGCCTTCCATCAGTTTCTTTGTTCATTTTTAATAGTATTTGATTTTCTTTTATAGGCATTTTTCTCATGCAAACAATAGAAATTAAATTGAATAGGAGAGATAGAATAGATAAAATTTGCAGACTAAACAGACAATTGGAAGTAATCCAAAATATTATACTGTACTTATATTGATTTCTTTCTTTTATAGTTAATTTTTCATTTTTTCTGGCTTTTTGGGGGAATTTATATTAAGCAAAACCACAAAAATGAAAATTCAGTCCAAGAGAGAGTTTATTGATTAGATTCACCATTTATTTCTGTTGGACCTCTTTCATTGTTGTTGTTAGGCATCTCAAGGGTTTTTCCTCACAAGGCCTCAAGAGATGCTGCAATAAATCCAGAATTAATTAATTTCTTCCAATAATAAGGTGATACAAGATTTCTTAATGAATGCACTACACTATTTGAAAAGACTGTAGGAGGTTGTCTCCCAGTCCACTGCCTAATTCCCCACCAGAATGACCCACTGATAAAAAAAAAATCTTGGGTCTTTTTTGGGTGGGTTGTGAAAAGACTAAGCACAACTGACTATGTGAACTGTAAGCCAACTGCATAATTTAACCATCATAGATCAAAATGGCTAATGTAGACGGATTACTGTTTAAAATCTATGATTTATAGTAAAACAAATACAACATGATTATATTTCCGTAAGGCAGTGAATTCTACTTTCCTCGTTGTTGGATGATTGGGAGCCTGAGGTAGTTACCTCGGGAAGTAGAATTTTCTACTTCACCGCAAGCTATGTTGTATTTGCATATTGCAATCATTTTATTGGACAAAGTACTACAGTTTCTCTGGTATAATCCCACACACTTTGATCATGAAATTAGGCAGATGTTGGAGGCTGGGCTTATACCAGGTGAATCCTCATTTCACAAAAAAAAAAAAAAAACAGACGAATCCTTTTTTTTTTTTTGACAGTCTTACAGTAATATTTATAGGAATGAGCAATCAAAAGACAATTTTTAAATACTAGATTTGAAGTCAGTCTTTGCCAAGATCAAGGTCAGCTGAACTACTCATTCAAATGCCATATCCTCACCACCCACCTCTGGAAAAACACTGGTATGTAAAATTGGGCATAAATTATGGGAGGCTTATATACCAGAAGTGAGCTTACGCCTAGTAAAATAATTGTATTTTTGAGTTTTCATAGATAATCGAATAATAATGATGTCAATTAAATATTTGTGTGAAATTTTTCATTAATTTCTAAAGGTCTGTCTACTAACCAATATTAATGATATGAAATATTGTTTAAAGGTTTGCATGGCGAAGTATAATATATAATTTATGCTTGCGGTACACCACGTAGATAGTTCTGAAAAGAACTGTTGTTGTTGGTTGAGAATATCTCGAGAGATATTCTCAACCAACAACAACATTTTTTTTCAGAACTATCTACGTGGTGTACCGCAAGCATTAATTATATATTAATGATATGGAAACTATGTTCAGTAATGCAAGATAATTACTGTAAATAGGAAACATATACATTACTGTATTGATTGATAAACTACTCCACACGCATTGCATGCCTGTAGGTCAGGAAGGATACAAATGCTACTCATGTGACAAGATACCCAATTGATACCATAAGTGCTGTACAGTAAAGTAGTAAAGTCATAATTTTAAGTACATATTATATGGCAAAATCTCTAGATAAAAACTAAAAAAAAAAACCATAAACCATAAAAAAACATTGATTTCTTTAAAAAGGATCAAATATATTGTCAATTTCTAATGAGCTGCAAATTCAAGCAACTACAAAATTTTTATTATAAAAATCCTTATAAACTATTACTAGTCAATTTTATGGTTTGTGGAAACCAAACGCTGTCCAATGTTGGCAGGCCATGCTTAGATACCCCAACTTGCATTGTTGACAGGCTGAGAAGTGACTCAGGCTATATTTCAGCACCAGGTACAAGCATTTCATGGCCTATGAATAGTAGTTAAGTAACCCCTTACCTAGAAGTGGCTTTTGAGCATTGTTTGGGGTGATTTCAGTTTAAAAAAAATAAATTTGTAAAAAAATGTTATATTGAATGCTACTATAATGTATTTGTAATGTATATTTGCTATGATTGCACACTGTTGCAATAGTCCAGCTTAGTAGTGACAAGAGCATGTACAAGTTTGTGGGTTGCATCTTCAAATACACAAAGTATAAAAATTATTATTATTCTTGTACTAATTTAATTATCTAACAATCCATTATTTAATACCAGATAATGATTTTGCTGTTATGTTTCTATTTATCTAACTGTATTGCTTTCCAAGGAAGGATATTTTGATCATGATCTTTAGCTAGTCATCCAAGTAGTGTTATTATTACCATAATAAATAATTATTATGTTTATTACTGTTGTTTTCTAAGAATTCATGCATCGATTCCTATTCAGCGATAAAGAAATAATGTTCTAGTAAGGAATACAGTAGGCCTACCATATTTACAGATTTATCTGTATATAGTTATAGTCATAGCTATTGTTGATTCTATCTCATAATATTCAAAAGGATGGGAGTTATAACAAAAAAAATAATGTCAACACAAAGGAGTTCAGATGTTTGAATTAATGTGGGCCATGGGAATTAATACACTTCTCGTTGTTTCAACAATACAGTACAAGCAGAAAATAGAAATTATATTTTCAATAATACTATTATAATGACTTAGGTTACTAGATTTTCCAGTGTAATAGTATGGTGGTAGTTTATTCAGACATGTACTAACACATGAAGTGAAACTATAATAGTATTTTCTATTCAACAAATATTTCAATACAATTCTGTTGTATATGATTTGTTATTAACAATAGTTAATAATAGTAGGATCAGTTCATATTCAACCAGGAACAATGCACATTCAATTGGGCAACCATTTGCACTTCCTGCTAAGTATTATAAACGACACACTACAACAATTCAATAAAATACCAGGTACCTATAATTTCATCCTTAAGTAGAAAGAAAAAAATGTAAACGAAGTGTTTGGCCTTATGGACAACTAACAAGCGATGAAAGTTAAACCTTTATCTATATCGCTGATACTATTAATAATAATAATGGGTAATAGTTTAGTTTTGTATAGTGCCAAGTATCCATCAAACAAGATGCTCATGGCGCTTGATGTGTGAACCAGATAGATGGCGCATTATAAGTGCCGTTATTATCATTATTGATCTAAAGGTTTTTAAGGATTTAAATAAACCATAAGAAATTGAGTATAAAAATTATAAATGCATTAAAAAAATCTGTCAATGCTTTTATTACAGTACAACATTTCTTTAACTGTCAGCCAATCATTCATACTCATGTTCCTATTGTAGCTGTCAATTAGCAGAAGTGAGCATAATTTGGTTTCTATTTTTAAAGAAAAAGTTTAAGCGGACATTATTAAAGCGTAGATGAAAACCAAAGTTTTTTTCTCTCATAAGAAATATATTATTTAGTTTGAGCATGCACTGACCTGTATCCAAATATCAAAACTCTACATATCATTAATTTTCTAAATAATGTTTTCTTTAACAAATCCTTAATCCCTATTTGAATTGTGCAATTTAAGTCTAAAAAGTATCAAATGACAGCTAAATACTGGTTTTAAAACATACTTGAATTTTTACTATTTCAATGTATTATAATGAAATTGTGAAATTACTTTACAGGCTGTAAATTAAAGAGTATACAGTGTAAAAATAATGCTGATTTAAGTCTAAAAAGTATTAAATGACAGCTAAATACTGGTTTTAAAACATACTTGAATTTTTACTATTTCAATGTATTATAATGAAATTGTGAAATTACTTTACAGGCTGTAAATTAAAGAGTATACAGTGTAAAAATAATGCTGTTAATTATTCCTGTCTCTTATACACATCTAGATGTGTATAAGAGACAGAGCTTATTCTCCTTTCTTAAGGCTTGCACTCATTTGAATTCTTCG